TTATTAAGTAAACAGTACATACCGAATAAAAAGTATAGGTGCTTTCAGACTCTGAATTACTACTTTAATTTGTTCTTCAGAGAGAGGAACAAGCGCTTCCTACATATTAAAAGAAAATATTAACATGTTCAATTCAAATTTTGACATAACTGAATGCTGTTTCACTATTTAGATGTAGTGCTACATTTAGAATAGACTAATACTTCACTTTCAAAACAATATATTCTTTCTAGATAACAGGTGAAATGTCATTATTATATTGATTCAAAACTATAGAAAAAAATAGAAATAGGATAATGCATACAATTTCAGTATCTCTTGGTAATAATACAAAACAGAATATTCTAATAATGATGACCAAGCAGATTACAGTAAATTGTAAAATTGCATTCAGTTATGTCACATCTATCAATAACCTTCTTCTCATATTATACTTACTAGTTTCAATTTGTCATCGCGAGTAAAATGCAATTTGTTATCTAAATATAATTTGATAGACAAATCATTTCATCCATAAAAACATACTTGTATCTCGACGAACCAATCGTTCGGTTAATAGTCGAGCAGCTTCATCACTTATACCAGTTCTTGTTATTTTTGTTCTAAAAACTGTGTCGGTTAAATGATGACATTTTATCATTTTCCTACTTACAACTCTAATGCTTTATCAAATGTTAAATCAGCTTCAAATGTTCTAGCTGGTTTACTATGAAATGCTAAACTGTCATCAATACGAGAAGCATAGATTTGAGAATAATTTTCTGATGAACATTCTGATCTTGGTACTGCATCAATAGCAACATCACAAATTACTTCATCTGGATAGGTTGATGCATACTAAATATAATATAAAATCGATTACATCTAAATATGAGTTTGCAAAAAAGAAACCTACCACTATTCCAAGTGATGCTCCATAACTGTGACCAATAATAGCAAACTTTTCTTTGTTCCAGCCAAGACCTTGATGAGAATACAATATTAAACTTAAATAATTAGAGTCAAAACTCAACTAACTTAGAATAACAGTACGAAGGTCTTGCGTATTATGTGTACCGGAATATTCGAAACCTTTAGGAATATGACTAGAAAATCCATGGCCAGCTCGATCATACAAATAGATTTCATAATCTATGAAATAAAAAGTTTATTTTATTGGTACATCTAATAAAATTAGTCTTACTTGGATGACGCTCAATCAATTGTGTTGCAAGTGGTAATAATGAATTAAGATTATCAAGCCATCCGTGAATACCAATAATCTTTATTGTCTTTTTGCCATAATCTGCAGTTGCTGTAGCATCATTCTTCAATAAAACTCCAACTAAAGTACCACCCCATATACATTGAACATCAAATTTTGTTATAATCATTGATATTCTCTACAATATGATAACAAGAAATAATTTCAAGTACAAAATCGTATATGGTTAGTTTAATCTGAAAGAAAACAAAACAATCAAGACTAAAAATATAAAAGTTTCGTTATCTTTATTAAAGTAGAAAACAAATTATTATATGAGATGTTTATTAAAATATTGCTCTATTCGATTGAAAACACTGTCAACATGTGTCATATGAAAGTGATGACATCCATCCATTTCCATCATTTCAAACTAGAATAAAATAAAAGTAGATTGACTAATTAATTACAGTGATATATCAATGACTAACATTTGGATTATGCTGCTTGAGTAATTGGAATAAATTTCTATGCGAAGGCCATTGAGGTTTGGTTGTTCTGAAAAAACATGAGATTATTAGATACTATACATTAGATGTAGATAAATTTTTGTACCCAATGTAAAGAAGTGATGCTTGAATTTGTTCAACTGCTTCTTCAGCCATACTTTTACTAATCGGCATAATAATTAACTATAGAAAAAGAATTGACATTTAATGTCAGTATTTATCTGGCTTCATAGTCGTCCTTTATTTTTCGGAGAAAAACAAATATTTCTCTTAGGAAGGTCGTTTGTTTTTGAAAGGTATGATGTCAGATAAATGTAATAATTTTCGTGACTGATAGTGATACTTATATATATATCCCAAAAGATGCAGCGTGAATTTGATCTATTAAATTTCGATTGCACACAAATAATATAGTTTTTTTGCTAGAAGGCTAATTCATTCTTTCTCTCCTTATTACGTAATGTATTTGATCTAAAAATAAAATACATTACAAGAAACTACGTGAAAATGTCTGCAATTAATAAGGTACAAATTAAACAAACAAGAAAAAAGAAAGAATGTATTATTTACGCACGATCGAAATTTGATAGATCAAATTTTTCCTTACGTTGGAAATCAAAATGCAGCTATAAACTATGTAGTCTAATATGAATCGTATAGTTTTTCATGCTGCAACTCTTGGGATATTTAGTTTTTTAATAGGGTAAAGTAAAAGACAAGCAAATTAAACGCAATTTATTATACTCAACCTGATTTTTCCTCAGAAAATGTATATTGTGTATTATTTTTATCGATCCAGTACTATGTTTTTACTAAACCTATAAGAGAAGATATTGAAGAAAGAGTATGTCCTTCAGTTTTTCAATAAGTTTCCAGTAAAAAGGTTTAAATCTTAGTCAACATAGATGTTTCATATAGGCATAAGTAATTTTATATTTTTACAAAGTATTGCTACGAGGTCATATACTTATCAATGTTACTAACATTTCGTAATACTTCATCTGGTGTAAAATATAATTGATTGTCTATAAAAATATCATCAAACAGTTGAACTAGGAAGAAATTTTGTATAGGTATAACACTAACGTTTATCTCGTTGAACTGATCGTTCGACAAGTAATGCCGCTGATTTGTCATCAATACCATTTCTAGTACTTTTTATTCTTCAATACAGAAAAAAATAAACTAAATTTTATTATTTTATTATTTTCTACTTACATTTCAATAGCGTTTTCATATGTTAATTCCTTTTTATGTATTTTCGATGGTTGATTATAGTGCTCTATATTCTTGTCAATACGAGAAGCAACAGTTTTCCAAAAAGAATTTGTTGACTTTTCGCTACCAATAAGGGCATCAAGAGCAACAAGACATGAAATTTCTTCTGGATACGCTGCTGCATACTATAACAATATAAGTATATATCAGCAAATAATACGTTGAACATCAAAATTTACTGCTAATGCTACATGTGCTCCATGACAATGACCAACAATGGAAAACGTTTCTTTATTCCAAGCAAGAGCTGTAATAAAAAGTAACAGAAATTATTATAAATCATAATTAACCAAAAGAAAACTAACTTTGAATAACAGTACGTAAATTTCGTAGATTCTCACCATATGAATATTCAATACCTTTAGGAAGATGATCAGAAAATCCATGACCAGGTTGATCGTATAAATAAATTTCATAATCTATAAGAAAATAACGAAATTATTACTTTAGCTGAACTATATAAAGATTTACCTGGATGACGATCTAGCATTTTTTCTGCTAGTGGTAGTAATGAATTAAGATTATCCGCCCAACCATGAATACCAATAAATTTCTTTGTTGTTTTCCCTGATGCTATTGTACCTTGGTTTTTTAGTAAAACTCCAGCTAAATGACCACCCCATTGACATGGAATATTTAATTTTGTTATCATCTATCAGTTTATCTAAAAATGAATATATAACAATTCTTAATTCATTCAATAATGTTACATTAAAATATTTACAGTCTGCCCGTCAAGGGTGAGAATGGAAGGTCTTTGACTAGGATGTGGATGTTGGTGTAGATGTATATATGAATAAGAAATATTCATAACTACATCCACCCACCTACTCCCATCCTCAAGAACTCAAGAAGTAATACTTTATTTGTTTTTGAAATAATGAAAAGGTAATTTATAGCAAAATCATTAAAGATTCAATAAATTCTACGAAGATGTGATCATATCTATATGATAAACTCAAATATTCAGCAACATTTGAAAATATATATTATTTCGAGAAAACGATTTAATCATAAAATCATTTATTGTGTATCAAAACAAATTGTATAAAAAAATTATAGTTTACTCTTTTCTATTATGGATGGAGATGTTTGTTCAAGATATTTATCAAAAAATTCTTCAATTCGATGAGTAACTTCATTAACATGGGTCATATGGAGATGATGTGGTCCATCGATTAATGTCATTTCAAACTAAATATGTATACTTTTATCTATGAAATATAGATATATAGATATGAATTACTTACTTTTGGATAGTTCTTTTTAAATAATTCCGCTGATCTATGTGCATGAGGCCATTGAGGCTTAGTAGCACTTTAAATAGACTAGATTATGTTTATGATTATTAAGTAAACAGTACATACCCAATAAAAAGTACAGATGCTTTCATAGTTTCAAGTATATTTTGAAACATCGCTTTAGTATATGGAAAAACTGGTATCTACGAACAAATCAAAGATATTTACATATAGAATTTGTTATTATACAAACTAGTTTGAGTGATTCATCACGAGTGAAATAGTATTTATTATCTATAAAACAAAATTTATCGAAAAATAATAATGATAATTAAAACCAACTTGTATCTTTACGCACTAATCGTTCTGTTAACAATCGAGCAGCTTCATCACTAATATTAGCTCTAGTTATTTTTGCCCTGGAATATAGAAATATAATTATAGTCTATCATAATTTTCCTACTAACGATTCAACTGCTTTTTCAAATGTTAATTCTTCATGATAAGAATTAGACGTACGATTTAAATATTTTAAAACACTGTCAATTTGAAAACCAGTACTTTCCCAATAGAGTCTTGCCGGTATTGAAGCTCCAAGTAAAGCATCAATAGCAACAAGACAAAGTACTTCATCTGAATAACTTGCTGCATACTATATACAAAACAAAATAGAGTATATGCATCGAAAGTAAATTCGAGAAATACATACTACAGTTCCAAGCATTGCTCCATAACTATGACCAATAATAGAAAATTGTTCTTTATTCCAACGAAGACCTTGATGAAAAAATGATATATAGATTTAATAAGTTGAAAATTAATTTAACTAACTTTGAATAACAGTACGAAGATCTTGTAAATTATGCATTGCTGAATAATTGAAACCTTGAGGAAGATGACTGGAAAATCCATGACCCGCTCGATCATACAAATAGATTTCATAGTCTATGAATTAAATAAAAAGAAAATTTATCTTATCGATATAATTAATAAAATTAGTCTTACTTGGATGACGATCAATTAATTGTTTCGCAACTGGTAATAATGAATTAAGATTATCAAGCCATCCATGAATACCAATAATCTTTATTGTCTTTTCATTAACTTTGTCAGTTGGTATTGCATCATTCGTAAGTAAAATTCCAATCAAAGTACCACCCCATATGCACGAAACATTTCTTTCTGTGATAACTACTGGCATCTTGTAAGACGTATAGAATAGCTGATAGGTTTATTCGTATTAAGGTTAGATCTTCAATACGTTGTAAAAAAAAATATAATTAATAATTTATTATCGTATCTGATTGTATTCTATGTAAAAAAACTAACTCTAAATATAACGAACGACCTTCGAGATGAACCGAATATGTTTATTTATTTATTTTTGTTATATTCTCGAACTATTTACGCTAAAAGTACGTACTCTCTTATCTGTTGACATATACGAAATGAAAGGTACACAATTCTTTACTTGTATTTACACAATATTTAAAGTATGAATTGTTTTACGGATATGTGACAACCAACTCTCAAAGAAGATTTATGAAACTTCTGACTAAAGTAAAAAAAACAACTTAAAATAAGTAGAAAAAATATTTTTGCCTCTACTCATTGACAAACTAAAAAATGGTTCCGGACGTTTTCGTTATCAAAATTTCAATTATTCGTATTTAACAATCTATGAAATCCAGTATTTACATTCTTTAGTTTTGTTGTCATAGTTTTCCACATTGGTAACAAAATTTCGAGAATGACATTGCTAGCTTTATCAGTTCGAAATTTCGATATACTCAGATTGAGTCTCCTACTAACAGTATTTATAAGTCATTTTTACAGATTTTTAAAAGAATATTAGTTAGTATTAGATAGAAAAGAAACCGACTCTATGATTTTCCTACTACTAAATTGTTGTTATATTTAAAAATTAAAGATAAACTTCAAGGATATTTTGATCATTCTTTTTAATGACTTAAATAGTCAAAGAAATACAACATAAAATTAAAAAAAAATCAAATCAATATTTTATCTGACATACTCAGGGAGAAAACAACACATCAACATCAGGAAAAAAAACAAAACAAATAGCACAAATACTGTTTTCAAAACAAAAACAATCGAATAAAAATATCTACTTCATTTGATATATTCTAATCATTCTAGATGTATGAAGTAAACATCTTTATACTTATACAAAAAAAAAGAGAGTGAATTATTCTTTAGAAAAAAAATGTTTATTAACAATAATTTGATCAATATAGATTTATGTTATAATAGATGATAAATAATGACGATTAGAATTTGATGATTTATACTCAGAAAAAAGAATTTCTGCACAACGATATAAAAATAATAAATCACCCTAAAGAAAATATAGAATTGAATAGTATTAAACAATAGAAATATGTCTTACGTTATGACGCCAAATTCCTGGTCGTTTTGTATGATATAATTTTGCTAATTCATAAACATTCAGTGTATTTTCATTCTCGATTTGTTCTTTCATTGTATATAATGCACAAAATGTTGCTAAATAAGAATAAAAACTTCAATTCATATACAGATAAAATTCGGTATTCTTTTCCTACCAGCTCGATAACCACCAAAAAGATCATGTACAACAATAGGTCTTTTCGAATTGAAATTCATAATTGCATTAATAAGATTAAACGATGTTTTCATTGGTGAACATGCATCTGGCCAATATGAATTTGAAATTTGTTTTACTCGTATTTCATTATTATCTTTTAAAGTAGATTTAAGAATAAAATCTCGATAAATATATTCACATTCAAATTGTTCATCAATTAAATAAACATGAAAATTTCCACAATCTATTATTTGATTTGGTAATGGCCAAAAATCAAATACATCAGGCTAAATAATTCAAACAACAATTTATTCATAACTTTTATTTTTTAATTAAATATTTTACTTGAGATACTTCATCACCATATAAAGAAACAATAATAGTAGCATTAACATTCCATATCATTTGCCAAAAGTCATTTCTTGTATTCGTCATAGGATGTTGAGTTATAATAAATTCATCAACACGATGATAACCCTAGTAAAACAAAATTAAAGATGAGTCATAATATTTTCTATGTAAGGATGGTAATGGCTGACTCAACCATGGCGATCGCAAGGCTAGGAAAAGGAGAAGCGTCAGACGGAAGTAGGGATATATTAAGTCCGAGAGGCTTGGGCTCGGTCAGAGCTCGAGTGTCAGGATGGGTGTGGGAGTGGGTAGGTGTGGGTGAGCGTGAAAAGAATAGTACCCGCACTCACACTCTCACTCTCATTCACACCCACCCACCCACCCACCCACACATTCTCACACTCCGTACATGTCTAGACGGAAGGGGTGCAGATACCGCCGTCTGTAAAAATAGAGAAGACGAAATAAACCAACCAACTATGAATGTTCAATACTATTCAAATCGTGGTTGGTCTTAACGGGTGGTAAGTCTATGAGACATTAAGATGGCAATGGCTATAAGTAGGAAGCTGCGGAGCACTCCGAGACCCGATTATGACTCCGTTGGAGTCTACAAAACATAATTTTTGGAATTGGAGTCGGGTTTTGGGGTCAAAAAAGTTGACTCCGCAGAACCCTAGCTATAAGCAAGACCGAGATAATTCTAACATGAAATGAAACTTTCTTATTAGATAGTAAACACTATTTAGTATCTAAATGAAGCTTAATTCTCGAAAAGAAAATATATTTAGCATTACATGAATATATGAAGCATTGATATATCCTCCATCTTTTGGTTTCTTATCTGTTGAAAGTAAAACACGACATGAATCTAATGGTAAAATTGCTTGTGTACGATTTTTTGTTAAATTTTCTTTCATTTGTCCAATTATTAATTGATTGTTATTATTTGATTTTTCTATAATTAATTGAAATTGTTTTTCTATTCGTGTTAAATTTAAAATTTTATCATAATAATTTAACATTTGTATAATCGATTGAAAATTTTGTTCATTCAATTCTAAGTCATTACAATCAATATTTGCTAAATGTACTGCTTCAAGAAGAACATCATAAATGAATATAAATTGTTCTTCAGTTTGAACAAGAAAATTTCGTTGTTGTCGAATATGTTTAAGAAATGAAGGGATATTTATTGATTCTTGTTCATTGATCTTCTTTAACATTGTATCAATTACTATATAAGTTCCTGTACGACCAACACCTGCCGAACAATGAACAACTATGGGTCCACCAGATTCAGGATTATAAGATGATGAACGACGTATAAAAGAAAGAACAGGTAATGTGAATAAAGGTACACCATGATCAGGCCAATCAGTATAATGAAATTGATATACTTCACGTTCGTGATCAGTGAACTAAATTTTAATAGATTTAATTATTCACTCGTATAAATAATCTTCAATAAGAATTTATACATACCTTTCCATTCATTTTACATCGAATTGAAAATATTCTTTTAACATAATATGCCAGAGATATAACACTGATTAAAGTGACTTCAATAATACCATACATTTCAGTACCTTCTTCTGGCCAATACACATCACATTTTATCTAAACAAAAAAATATAATATTTTTCTACAGATTTTTATATCTAATATAAACTTACTCTTCCAGATTCTTTAATATTTGTAATCATTACTAATACATAAACATCTTTTTCCCAAATCATTCTCCTTTAAATCGAAAAGATAAGACAATAATTATTTTATAGAAAATTTCTCTACCAAAAATCATTAATAGTATTTGTCATCGGTCCTTGTGTTGCAATATAAGCATTTGTTTTCTCATATCCCTAAATGAAAAATTTCTTAATAAAGAAAAATGAAATTTAAAAAATTATCTTACATCGATATAATTTGCATTTATATAATTTCCTCTTCCATCTTTTTCATCACTTAATAATTTAACACGTGAATGATCATCTAAATATTGAAAATAAAGTTTTATTTTTGTTGTTTATTCTTCTCTCTACTTCGTACATGTTAATATATTAATGTAACGATTTTTTGATTTATTAAATTCAATTTGTGATGTATCAGCAGAAAATCTATAAGTTTTTGATGACTCACAGATATCCTAGAAAATTAAAATTTATTCTATTAAATTCAGTAATTTTTATCAATACTTCAAATAATTGAATAAAACCAAAATCATTATTTTTATGTAAATTCGATACATGTAATGCAAATTGATCAATTGGAATAGATATTGAATCAAATTCTTCTACATATATATATACAAATATTAATTAAATCAATAAAATTTCAAATTAGATTTACCATAAGTGTTATTAAATAGAGAATCATTTCTTTGAACAAGACCTGATCTTGAACGATGATTTTTACGAAATGAATATGTATAATACTGTACTAGCCGATGACATTCAGGCATTAAACCTCTATTTATATAAATAGAATTATTTATTATTTTCTACAGAATTCATTTCTTACTTTTGATAAGCAATAACAAATGCACTTGTTGCAAGACATATAATTAATAAAATAAGAGCTATTATAATACCACATAATATTCGATTATTTCGATTAACAGATACTAAATAAAAAAATAGTCATGAAATTTTATCGTAGAACTCAAAGCTTTTAAACCTATTTCAGTTATTGAACATGGTATTGATATATTTAATTTATCATTCGTAGTACTATCAACAAGATTATTCTCAACAATAACAGAATAATTTCCATTTATATCTATAATATCAGCAGTAACATGCTAAAATAAATTAATTTGTCAGTTTTATTCAAAAAAAAATTCTTTAACTTACTTTATGAATATCATAAATATTTTTTTTAATCATATGATTTTCATTAATTTGATAGAAAACATAATTTGGTTTAAGTGTTACTAAATGTTTATTATTATTAAATAATTGCGTATGTATAATTAAATGATATTTATTTAAATTAATTGATTTGATTGTACAAGTTAACGGTGAATAAACAGGATAAAAATCTTCACATTGTTTAGAAATTGATCCAAGATATTCTGATTGAGCTGTTGATATCATTAATTTTATTTTAAATTTGAAAATCTTTGCTTTTATCTGATAAATAAATGAATTTAATGTTTTGATTAAAGGTAAATACTGTTGAAGTGAATAAAGACTATCTGTAGTTATTATATTATCTTGATTATCATAGATCGTTAAATTATAGATGTGATTTAAGATTAAAAATTTTGAACGATTAAATTCAATTAATAATAATTGTTGATTAAGACGATAACATGATATTGATTGATCAAGTAGATGACGATCAATGATTTTATGCGATGTACGTTTTTCATTAGTATTTAATGGTAATGTTTTACTAGTTATAATTACAGTTTTACCATAACGTTGCCATATATCAACAGCTGATATCTCTATTGAATAGAGTGTATTAGGATGTAGAGAAGAGAATGTATAGATGGATAATGTATGATTGACTAAATTACGATATTGAATTGTATTATTATATCTAATAGAAAAGAAGATTATGAAAGTAATATTTTGAAAGTAAATTTATTACTTTAAAACTAATTGATAATGTGTAATATTAGCATTTCGATTGAAACTATCATCTTTCCATTGAAAAGTAAGACGTGAACTTGTTATTTCTGATACAACAACATGTCGTATGGGTAATGGACGATCTAAATTAATAAAAACAGTTGTATTTTTACGTAAGTTAATAGAAACAATGTTTACAAAACTATCAACAATTGACTAGAAAACAAACTTTGATATTTTTCTTATACTGTCAAAATATATAGTCATTGTATCTGTCAACCTCTTAACTATTATTGACGTAATATTCTATCAAGATAATCTTTATAATGACACGGAAACTACAATCTATAAATCATACTGTTTTTGATGTCGTCTTGTATCTATTCTCTCATCTATCACTGATTAGGAGTCTTTTTTACCGATTCTGACATTTCACATCGATTATGGTCCTATTTGTCAATTGTACCATATTTTATGTTGAAAATAGTATGTATGCGTGAACTAATTGTTACTTCTCAATAATAATAACAAAACATATATATAAAATTCTAAATCTTCAGGTTAGTTTTTTCATATTAAATTAATTTTTGTTTTTTTTCAAATACTTTTAAGTATTCAGTATTGAGACAGTTCATCAATACAGAAGACATCTGTTTATACAGCATCTTCAAGTATGATTTGACTTTTTTTTTCTTCATAAAAGAACAAAGTAAGGAGCATTATATTTCTACCGTCTTTTCTTTGACACACTCATCAATCATTCATTCTTTAATACTTTTCTTTCTTATGGCTAAATCTTAAAGACATATACAATCAAAACTAGACCACAAGCGTGAAAATAAACACTCTTAATATACACAGAAAGTTTTTGAATAAACATCTGTTTAATAAAATGTAATTGATTTGCAATGTTGTCACTAGGAGACCGTAGAATTGAATTCAAGGATATATGTTATATATAGTTCAAACAAGATTATTCCGATTGGCGAACCACTAATAACGAAATATGATATTTCCCGTATGAAAGAAAACTGTCATTAAAACTTATATTCTATAGCAATTATATAATATATTCTTGACGTAAATAAAAAATAACCTTCAATACGATCTCGAAGTCTTATTTTTTAAATAAAATATTTGATATTTCTAACAAATAAAAAACAATGATTCTTACCAAAAGTTCGAATTTTAAATTTATATTCTTCATGATTTACAAGTCCTGTTTGTAAAGCACTCGAGCATATCATTTCTCGATCATATGGTTGTAGACCATTAATACGATAATATCGTCCACGAGTTAATTCATATCGTTGATTAGTTACATTATACCATTGAATATCTGAACCATGTATTATATTTAATGGACATCGAATCGAAGCTGTATTCGTTTTTGGATCAAGAAAAACGGCTTCATTGATTTCATGAATAATTATTGAAGATGTAAATGATAATTTAAGAAAAAAAAAGATAAAAAGATGGACAACATTCATATTATATCTATTGAAAAATATTTGGCTCATTCTAAAATAAATACATTTATGTTTTTTTTGTTAACAAAAAGTATTATAGTCTATTATTGAATAGGTAGTTGACATTACATTTTCATTGGCTTATTTCTATATTCAATTGTAGCATTATGGAATAACGCCATCTAACATAAAAGCTAATGGCAATAGCAGGTGTTGCACGAACAAATTTACATCTATTATTATACTAAATTCTTTTTTTTTAGTATATCATTTTATTACTTTAATTATAATTCATGAAAAAAAAGTTTTAAAAAAGTTTCTTCTTATTTTTGTTCTATCGATTAATAACTATTATTTTTAATAGAAATGACATACATATCTGTATAGTATTACCAGATTTTTCATTAAAATGACAAAACAAAAAAAATGAGAACTAAATGTTTGCATCATTTATCACGAAAAATATCATTTGTTTTTGTTCGTGGTCCAATTCAAGAGTAAATGACTCGTAGTTTATTACTATTCCTGTTATTTCCATGTGAAGCTACGAATCATTTGTATATTACACAGAAGTCATGAAGTCAACTGAATTTTTGCTTAACATTTTTAATAGTAATCGAAAGAATATGTTTCAATAAGAGAGGTCATGATTTCTCATAATACGATTAACTAAATCCTTATGTCTAGGAAAAAAGGTCAATTTTGCATGTATTAACATGTGTCACACTTATTACTTTCTTTTTTATGACTTCTTATACATTAATATTGTTGAGTATATGTTATGGTCTATTAAAAAATATTAATCTTTCATATATATAATATACGTTGATCTTTTAATTGTACAACTGTACAATATATCTAATGAATAAATTAATTTTACATGTTATATTAGATAAATAAGATCGATACATTATAAAGAATAAAATCTATTTTCTCCTTGCATTTTTCTTTTTGGATCAAGCGATATATAAAATAATTAGTATTGTCATGATAAGGAATGTCATTATACAAGCTGTCTAATGCCAAAATAAGAAAGAGAAAGGGAAAAGAAAAATTGTACGAAAAGAAACAGAACATATTCTACATTCTTCTGATTGTTAACAAAACGTAATGCAGGTTTTTGTTCTACTCTAGCTTAGCACTTTGTTTTTACTACGACGACACAAAAAAAAGAAGGAGATATTAGTCGTTATGTCGCCTTCTTATGCGTAATTCAAAGAAGAAAAGGGAAAAAAATATATATATATATATATATATCAGGATGCAACAGGAAGAGATGCTTATGCGCATTTCGCGCACTCGCATTTTGTACAGGAATCTAGAGAACACAGAGACAGAGAGAGAGAAAAAGACAGATAGAGAAAAAATATTACGATTGAGACTGATAGAGCTGGCACATAGATGGATGAGGCCGTTAGGACAGCTAACTGCACCACATGTTGAGTGTCGTCTTTAGATGTATAGTCAGGAATAAATCAAGCAAGAGATCGATGATATCCAGCTAAGATTTGTTTTTTTGCACACCACTCGTCCGTTCGTTTTCTCCTCCTACTTATTTATATTATTTTGCTTTCATTTTAGAAGAAAAATTAGTTGTAGAAAACAACCATAAGTACATCTCTCTTCCACAATAATCGTTTTCTTTTTTTCAATAAAACACTACTACAATGAGGTAAGTCAAACAAATCATTATTTGACAAAAACATTTGTATCATCAATCTCCAATGAACATCAAAACAGTTGTTTAGTATATTTATTCAATGGGATTTTATACTAATTCAGATAATGTTTATTGATAGAAGAAAGTAGGATGATATTACATGTCTAAAGAAAAACGTCTACTACTTACTAGTTTTTATCTATTTATTCTTGAAAATAGAAACTAAAACAGGAGAGTATAATCAACAGACTTTAATTGAGTCAGACAGACTTCTGTCTCATATATCACTTATAGAATGATTCCATGCTGAGAGATACTAGAAAAACACAAGTTTGATACTTTTTTTTAGTGTGTGTACAAAATGTTCAAATACGTTTCCAGCTGGATCTCGTAAGTAGTTCATTTACGTTTTTGTTTCTTTCTTAATTAATTATTTTACTTGATCAATGAAGGTATTACAGAATTCGATGGTAAACAATACCATGTATGTTAATAGAATAACTGAATTCCTAAATAGAAAAAGAATTCATATTTTTAGCCCGATTGTTTTTCTTGTGCTGATTGTCAAAAAGCAATTACATCACAATTCTATCCGTTCAATAATGATTATTTATGTGGAACATGTCATGAAGCACGTTTTCCACGCAAACGTTGTGGTAAATGTGGTTCAGTGATTACATCGGCCGGTATTACATTTGCTGGTGCTTCATATCATGCAGCTTGTTTCGTATGTATGTAAAATTAAGAGAGAAAAAAAACTATTTATATATAAATTGATTTCAAAATGAAAATACTTTTATCGACAATAAGATAAAATATATTATTAGTTTTCGACAAAATCTTAATATATATACTCTAATATTATAACGAGAGATAAGGATGATTGTTCATTCATTTGGAATAGAATTTTCTTCCGGCTCGACTTCAATGTATTGTGTATGATTAGGGAATATGTTAACATGCTTGAATAAACTGTAATAACTCTTCCGCATATTTTTTTATTAAATTTTCAAAAAAATAGTTTTCGAGTACTTCAAATTATCCGTATAAATAAATATAATATCTTTTTCGAAAAAAAATACTTCTACTCTGAAAAAAAAATATCATTACTCAATTATATGATTTTATTCGCGATTAAATATGTCTAAATTTTCAACGAGAATAATACCAATCTATGTAAGTTAGATTAGATCGCATCTACTTCTGCATATTATTAATTAATACAGTCTGTTTCCATCAAACATGTCTGATGTATACTTTATGAAATATTGTCAACATGCAATAACAGTTTAGAAAGAAAGATAGTTTTCCTGAATCTAATATATATTTTTTTCGTTATTTTCAAGGTGTAACATGTAAACAACCAATATCAGCAACATCGAAAATTTCAATGGTCGATGGTCAACCATGTTGTGTTAATTGTTATGAAGATAAACATGCAAAACGTTGTAGTCGTTGTCATAAAGCTATACTTGCTGATGTTGAATACCTTGAATTTGAAGATAAATATTGGCATAAAGAATGTTTTACATGTTCTAAATGTCAGGTAACAATAAAAAAAAAAGAAAATATTATTTTATTGGTTTTCTTATGGTTGAAATTTTTTTATTATAGAAATGTATTGCAGAAGAAAGTTTTTATCAAGATGGAAATTTAATTTTATGCAAAGATTGCATTTAATTATATGAAAATAAAAAAATTACATTTTTTTTTACTTAAAATAAACTTTATTTGTTTTTTTTCTATGTGTGCGTGTTTGCTTTCAAGATTATAATGCTTCTACCGTTTGCCTTTCTAATCTGTCCCTTGGCTATATTTTATTTTGACAATTTTTTCTGATGCTTTACTATTATTATTACTATTATTTTGAAACTAAGATCGAGTTTAAAAAAAAATGCTAATATTATAGATATTTTATTCAAGAAAATATAGATTTGAATTAATATTGTTGAACATCTGCTGCTGTTATATCTTATTCTTGAATAAGTTATTTTTCATATTGTAAATAAAAATACATATTTCAATCATAGACAATGTATTCTTATCATCATCATCATAAAAAAAAGAATCTATTGATTGTCTATATAATCATTTGGTTTTATATCATTCAAAACATTTGCAAAGTCCTCGAAAAAATGTCATGTTAAGATATGAATACTAAGCTTATGTAATCCAATGTCATTTGAAGATATTTCCTGTCAACACTGATGTATTCTATTCGGATAGTAATATCAACCATGAAATGTTTTTTTCTGCAAGTAATTGTAAATGAAAACATTTTGTATCATTGATAAAATAAACAGAAAAGATACGTTCTCAGGGTATATAAAAAGCATATTCCTAATATCTTAAAGGTAAGAATATTGTTTTTGAGAAATGAACTTGAACCTGAATCAAAGAAGAACATGTTCGTAATCAATAAAAGTTCAAGAATATTTTTATTTCAAATGACAAACATTATACTTTCTTGTTTAATATCATTCAAAAATATTTTTCTATTATTCAAATGATTTATACAAGAATTCTACACTTCGTAGTATGAAATATAGATTAATATTATTTTTTCTATATTCGCAATAACAACAAAGGTAAACATAAAAATTTCGTTGTTTATATCTACAGCATAGATTTCTTTAACGTCATATATCATTAATGACTGCCATTAGTAGATAAATTATTATTGATTTGACAAAACAAACAGCAAAAAGACATCTGAAAGTCATATGCATTCATTTCATTATATTTAAATATATTGATATACAAAAATGTCTTTACATCATTAACTATTCCATACTCATATATATAAATTAAAACAATTTTCCCATTTGAATTTTTGTTATGCTCTAACAAATATATTTTTGATTCTATCTGCTTATTTCAAACACACGCACGCACGCACACGCAATTTTGTAAATAAAAAAAAAAAGAAAAGAAACGATTGTCAAATTCACCATATAGCAAAAATAATGTTAATAATTTAAAAACCATCTGTCATACTTGAATTTGAATAAATACTTTCATTTTTATTACTTAAACCATTTGTTTCTTCGCATTTAACAATCGAGATATTTGGTATAAACCAATTTTCGACTAGAGTATATGAACTATCATGATTTGTATTCGAATTTTTCTCATATGTTATATTTGTATGTAATAATTTTCCATGATATTTATTTAATAATAATTGTGCTAATTCATCTCTTAACATTATTTGACGTTCAATTGGAATATAAAAATAATCATCACAATAACTAACAGCCATACCCATTTTTCTCGCTTGTTTAGCAAGTACAATACGTTGTAATTGATCAAATGGTTGACATGATATAAGTTTATCATCTAATGGAAATGTACATTGACATGATATATTAGATGGATCATTGAAATTTGAAATAATTTTTAAAAATTGTTTTCCAATTGTTTCAATAGAAAATAAACGTATTAATTTTAACGGTCCAATTAATGTTAAAATTCTTCCACCTTGATTTAAATTTGATATTAATGTAAAATTTAAACCAATTTGTAATTGATTATTTTGTTCGTTTGTTCGATTTAAACGATTTTCAATTTCATTTATTAATCGATCAATTTGATAATATTTTGCTTCGGAACAAAGTTGTTTTAATTCAGTAAAATTCTCTGGTAAATATAATTTTTTATCACGAAAATAATTTAATATATAACGAAAATAAATACCATCACGATCAATAAAATAATGACCATGATGATCTAATTGTGTTGTAGTTTGATTTGTAATTATTAAAGCTAATAATGATTGAGAATCAACATTTTCATTGATTGTTAAACGTGTTGTTGAATAAATATGACCACCAATATTAAATGTAACAATATCATCATTAAAATTTTGTTTGTCACTATCTGTACATTTTAGTGTGAGCGACGAGACAGATAGACTTCGGGGAGCAGGAACCGGCGGCGATGGCGACGGCATCCTGAAAATATTCTGGAATATTGGCATACAAAGACACAGAGGAAAAGAAGGAACGAAGAACGACGACTAGGTTTTCTTTTCTTTCTTTTTTTTTCTTCTTGTTTTTTTTTCTTTTTTGTTGTCGTCTTCTTCTTCTTCTTCTTCTTCTTTTTCTAATGATTCTGCGAAAAACCCCGCTGGTAACAATTAGAGAAGGCCACCATAGTCTTTTTTTTCTCTTGTTCTCTCTTGTGAAATCTGCAATCGTTATAGATTGATAGTTATCAGAATAGTGGAACAGAAAAAACAAATGAACGAGATGAAAAAATCTGCGGAACTTCAGATTCAATAATCTTATCGCGCTAACATATAGGAAAAAAATTACATAATATAAAACATGTCGTCAGATGCTATTTCCTTATTGATACTAATGATTAAATGATACTTATGAGCGAGAAGCTCTACAAACTATTTTGATAGAAACACTTGATTCAAAAAGTATAAGAAACAACTTGCATAATCTTTTTAAACGACAACGTTTTTGATCGAATTAAGAGAGAGAGAAAAACGAATGAATCGTAAATAATGCTCGAATGCACAAATATACATTATATATACTGACTTTTATTACTTTAGCTCTTCTTTTTTTTTCCTCGTTCGATTTTTTTCATTTTTTCCTCGCTCTCTCTCTCGTCTCTTTCGATCAACATACTATTATAGCTATTCTCTTGAACGACCTTGACAATCGACGAGACACGAGGAGAAAAAAAAAGTACATCACATCATATTAATGAAACTTTTGATCATACTTATCTACATGTATATAAGTTCAATAAGGATTCATAATCAAACACATAAAGCAATCATAAAGTTCTTTTAGAATCAGTCAACAGACCGACTCTGAGCAAAGAATGACCTTGCAGCTGTCGCCATTCTCTTGCCGCCGTCTCTATCCCTGTGGTACCACACATACAAGGCCATGTCGTAAACGCGCGTCTTTGCTTGCGTGTAGAGGAAAGAGAAAATGCCGAGAGTTTTCCTTGGTTTATTTCACAATATTAGACGAGACAAACAGGAATCAACAGATGGTAAAAGAAGTAAATGGATAATAAATGAAAACTCTTTAAGTGTCATCTAACAAGGACATGAACAATTACTAAAATTATCTTTCCTGATATAATGATTTCGTAATCAATGAGAAGAACAGAAAATGTATCAATATTACTTCTTTTTTTCGTTCTCTTTTCTTCGAGTATGTTGTTATTGTAAATAGCAAGTAATTTGAACTCAAGATTAAACCTCTCCAACCATCAATAAGAAGAAAAAAAAACAAAAAACAACAGTTGTATATTCTTTTCTTCATCTTACCTTTCGTTTTTTTATTCTATTATGTCTAACTAAATAAATATTCAATGTTTAGTTTCATATACCACCAGTTAGAAAATCTTATCTCATTTGTATACCATCTTTTTTTGTCATCACTGATTATCTTTTGTCCTGAATAAGCATGCATACGAATATATATACATACATATATGTATGTATATAGTATAAATATGTATTGGAGGTCAAGGCAGCAGAAATGTCGTCGGTCTTTACAACCTTGGCCATGATCAATATGCGTATAGCATATGTACATATGTATCTATTAATAATCGATGTTCAGAAGAAAAAAATGCAACAGATATGCTTTTTTAATTTTATTTATAGAATAATAACAATAAAAATAAACTGGTTGATGTGAAGCTACATATACAAACACAAGCAAGCACATATAGATGTGAGAAGACTCTCACTGACACAAGATTAATCATTCTTGAAAATATATGTTTTTTGTTTCGTGACTTGAGTTTAATATTCTTCAGCTACAAGAGAAGAAGAAAGAAATATTGCAAACAAAAAAAAATTATTTTTCTATCTACCTGTAATTTCTATTGCCCATTGTGGATATTTTTTCTGTAGTATTTCAACTGTTTTTTCATGATCAGCTCGACCAAATCCCTAAATATAATCATTTAAAAATATTTTCTTCATTAAAATTCAAAAGAAAATTCACCTGTGAATAACCATAAACTGATATTGTTCGTGTTTGTGGATCAACGCGTATACGACCACCACCTTTACAATCTAATGCAATTTTTTTTTCATCAATTTGACCTTCCATTATATCCAGAACATCAGCTAAATAAAATCAAGTATATTTAAATCAAATATCATCTTCTTTTTCTACTCATACCATGATAAGCACAAGAAGCATCACCACGAACAACAAGTTTTGTTTGTCCATAAGTCGTTGCACGATCACGAACTTCAACTAATATATATTTAAAACAGCCAGCTTCAGCAATATCAACATCAGGTACATCAATAATATCTCCAATTTTTTTACCCATTGATAAATCTATCCAAAATTGATGAAGAATATATTTTTCTTGGAAACGTTTAGCAAATTGTAAAAATTCACGACTATTACGACGTTTTCGACAGCGTTCTACTGTTACTGATGGCATTGAAGAAGAAAATAAAGCAACTCAATGATGAAAATTCGTTAAATTTCTATTGATCTCGAGAATATAATTGCTTTTTAGATTTATACGCTAATCGAAATAAGAAAAGTATCAACACGATAATAGGTGTTAAGTTTATACAATTAGATATTTGTCTTGACTAAATGAGATAGAGTATGCACACCTCTTTTTAAACACCTCATCCTCCTACACAGTCACGATTCAGACATATTATTCAAAGAAGAAAAGAAAAAAAATATCACGATTACGGTGAGGCATTAACAATTGTTATGTATATATAGCATATGCTTACAGACAATAGGTGCAATGATTAGGTAATTTGGTCACGCGCATACTTTCTATCTTAAAATAGCAATGAATAGACAAAATCCTATTGTTTAAAAGCAATCATGTGTCTGTTTCTTTTGATAAATAAGATCAATTACAAACAATATAGTTTATAGGAATATTCGCGAAACGAATTAGTCTAGTAAGCAACGTATCAAGGGCAATTATCGAATGTATTGAGCCGTGTCGAAAAGGAAGTTGTAAGATAAAACCTAAATTATTTACAGTAACGGAAGAAAGTTTTTTCTAAATCTAATAATATTCATTCATCTTTTTCTTATATATAATTTTTTTACACAAAAAATAAAACATATACATTTCATCACAACACTATTATCTTTGTTTTTTTATCAAAATTATCGGAAAAGAAAATCTTTAATTAATCACATTGAATAACACTAAAAGCTGGTAATAAAATCTTAAAGATTTCACGCCATATCGATCTTGATCTATCTGTTTTATCATAATAATGTTCTTTTGCTACGTGAATACCCATAGCTCCTGCACATCCAGCTGACATTAATGTTGATCGTGTCAACATAACCATACCACTTTGTTTCCATGTTAGACTATGACATAAAAATTCTCCGAACGGACAAAGACAATATAAACTAACGGATGTTACATAAAAATATTGATTTAAAAATATATAAAAACATATTAATGTTGAAATTGTAGCATAGAATGTAAATGAAAGAAAACAATGTACATTACATGTTGCAATACAACGATTAACAAAAAAACAATGATGATATCGATTTGAAAAATGATATAAACATATTGGACATTTACTTGTTGCTGTTAGAGAAGGTGGACGAATGGAAGAAACAAGAAAAATAGCTATTTGATATTGTAGAAACATCCATATGAATAATAAATATGTCAAAGAATTAACAGATTTTATCGTTGAAAATATATAAACTAATGCATGACTATAAAAAAGAAGAAACCATCGACCCGATTGACTACATTGTAGTATAAATTGAGATGTTTTCGCCACGCTGATAATATAATCTGAAAAGAACAAGATATTTCGATGGAATTTCATTTTTATATCTTTTCAGAATTAAACAAAAAATGAAAACATTTAAAGAACAAATACAAAAACAGATATTGTTTAAGTAAGTGCATCAACAAGTGCATCTTTGATTGTTTTATTGGTTCCGGCTGCTGATGTTGTTGTAGCACCACCCATTATATTATGTTGTCCTAATTTAAAGACACTTTCAATAACACTGATTTCATGTGCTGTTGTATCTAATCCACAAAAACCCATCCAATCGTTAACCAAAAGTCCAGCACCAATAACATCACTACCACGATTAACTGTTCCAGCAACAAGTGGTACTTGTAATAATGATGATAATTCTTCTTGTTCTTGTATAGATGTTTTAGGATGTACAAGACCACCTTGATTTGTAAATATTGAATAACTACCAACAAGAACACGATCAGCTATTGTTTGTCGAAAACATTCAACATTAAGTGTATCAGCTAAAATCTGTTCTGTTTCTTTATCTAAATCTGGATGAATCAATGCAACATAATCATTACATGCAATAACATTTCCCAAAGCAGATAAACGTTCTTCACAACGTCTTAAACGAACATTATCTGGTAATGAATTACGAATATGTTGTAATTCTTGATCAGTTGTTGATGCTGGAACAAGAAGACCATGACGATTGCCAACAGTTAAACGACCAACAATACGACAATCACCTAAATAATTATACATATATCTTTGCTTTTAAAATATCGAAAAAGAAAAAGAAATTTTTACCGATTGATGAATGAATAACAGGAATATGGTCGCTGAGTTCACTTTCAAATGTTGAATAGAAATTTTCTGATCCACCAATACCAACAAGACAATAAGCATTTGTTATACGAGCAAAGACACCAATATCATTACTACTTTCAAATTGTGTACGGACAGCCATAATTAATATATTAATAATAATAATATTACTCAGTAATCTAGAAAGAATGAAGAGAAATTTAAATCTTTCGATAACTGGGTTACAATTCGACTTTATAGTGGATTAAAGTGTAGGAAAAGAACAAAAATCATTGATTTTCTTCTGAGACATCGAAATGTTCCATTCCTTTCAGTCATCCATAATTTGAAAAAAAAGTAAAAACAAAACAAAAGAGAAAAAGACATCTTCTTGTTTGTTCAGTTTAAATTTTGCAAGAAGAAAACAGAAAACAAATAATGACAAACAACAACAAATAAACAAACAAAAAAATTCTAAGAAAATTGTTTCTTGATTTTCTTCATTATAACTAACGTCGTTGATAAGTCGTTCGTCCAGTTCCAGTTGTTGTTTTACGTGTACTACTAGTATTACCTGATCCACGTTTTTTAAGTGCGCCTTTAACAAACGCCCAATCAACATGAAGTGTATGACCAAGTAAATCTTGTCCATTAATAGCTTCTAAAGCTTCTTTAGCTTCTTTAAATGTTTCATATTCTACAAGTGCATATCCTTTAGCATAACCAGTTCTTCGATCCAAATTTAAATGCATATTTTTTATATTTCCATATTCACGAAAAAGATCATACATATTATCTTCTTGTGCTTCTTCATGAACATTTGTTATAAATAAAATCCATCCTTCAACAGATCTTGCTGGACCAGGATTTCCACTATCATTATCGCTTGTAACTGTATCATAATCACCTGTTTGCATTGCTAAACGATCACTTTGTTCATTAAAACCACGACCTTTTCGACGACGTACATTCGATTTTATTTGATTAACTGCATCATCATCATCTTGATCTCCAACTATAATATCATTGGCATTATCCATAGTTTCATCTTCATCTTGTACTTCGACTTCAACAGTATTACTCATTGTTTTTTTTTTCTTCAAAAAAAAAAGAATCAGTATTAAATGGATGAATTAATATGTTGAAATGAAAAGAAACATAAATCAACAAATAAACAAAGAGAATAACTATAACGAATCAGAATATAGATAAAAATTATTATTTTTGCTTATAAACTAATTGTTTTGTAAATAAAAAATGTAATTAACTTTTTCATAGATTTTGAAATAAAAAAAAATAAAAATGATGAACTTCTACTGACATCTATCTTTACTATGATTAGTAATCTTACTAATAAAAATCGATTTCGATTTCTTGAAAAACCAGTTTGATCTGAAATGTGGTGCTTTTTAGTAATTTTATTATTATTTAATAATTATGTAATATTTGCTCAATCTATACCTTTATTATTACTTGTGTCTTTCGATGGTTTTCGTCATGATTATCCTAAAATTCATGGACCTTTAAAAAATTTTCAAAGATTAGAACAACGTGGTGTTCATGCTCAAAAAATGATATCAACATTTGCAACAGCAACATTTCCTAATCATTACACGTATGTTTATTTCATTCTATTAAAAATAATACTAACAACAAAAAAAAACGATGATGTACCGAAATGCTCTGTACAAAAACTCAAAAAAGATAAGACTCAGAACTAGAAGCTTAAAAATATATGCATTGTAATTCGATATCTTTTTCATTATATTTTTTACAATTGATTCCATCTAGTCTTGTTCTGATTTCAATATTGAAAGCATATAAGGTAAGCCTCAATAAAATGAGCATGTTCAAAAATTTACTAATATGAAGAATAATCTAAAATATGTGTTTATGAATTAGGATTTACATTGTGTGATATCTTATGTCTAACTAATTCATTATTCTTGAATTGATCCATTACATTTAGATAAATTTCTTATTTTTAGTTTAATAACTGGTCTCTATGAAGAAGTTCATGGTATAATTTCAAATAATATGTATGATCCAAAAACAAATCTTACATTTGAACAATCCGATAATATGACAAATAATGAATGGTGGCCATATCCAACTATATGGTCTATCAATGAACAACGAAAAGGAGGTCGATCAGGTGTTGTTGGTTGGCCACAAGATTCAATACATATTTCAAAGTATCAACCATTCAAACGATCACGTTCATTTCGTGATATCATTGATCAAATGCTTCTTTGGTTTAATGATCCTATTGAACCAATTAATTTCGGTGCTATGTATTTCTATGAACCTGATCGAACAGGTAAGAAAGTTCTGTTTTTTTCGTTCAAAATATTTTCATTAGGAAATATTTAGGTCATCAAACTGGACCCTATTCAAAAAATATGACAACAATGGTTCGTGAATGTGATGAACTTCTAGGCTATTTATTAGATAAAATTGATACAAATGAAAAATTACGTAAAAATCTTCATTTAATTGTAACATCTGATCATGGTATGGAACAAATAAATGGTACAAATAATCCAATATATCTTGAAGATTATGTTGATCATACAAAAATAAGATCATTTGGTGTACCACCTGTTACGAATATATTTGTTCAATCATGTAAGTATATTTACTAAATTAAAATGTATATTAATTTTGATTTGATAAGCAAATGATATTAATATTGTTCTTAAAAACTTATCAAGAATTCCACATTCTCAGAGTTACAAGAGACAAGATATACCTGATCGTTATCATTATAAAAATCATGAACGTATTGGTGATATCGTAGTTATTTGTGAACCAGGTTATGAAATTAATCATCATCCATCTCGTAAGAATTTTATTTTAATTTAATTCTTTGGGTTTTTTTTACATTTGAAAGAGATGTCAAGGTGGTGGAAAAAAATATAATTCAAGTCTTATACATGGTAATCATGGTTATGATAATCAAGTTGATTCAATGAAGACAATATTTTATGCAAGTGGACCACAATTTAAACAAAATTTTACATTAGATAATTCATCTTCATTATATAATATTGATTTATTTGGTTTAATGTGTATTATACTAAATATTGAAAAATGTCCATCATCGAATGGATCATTGGAAAATATTCAACCATTTTTAATTAATCCAACGAAAACTTTCCATATGATTAATAACTTACAAGATAAAATCATTTATGCGATTGGTAGGTAGAAGTTAAAATACTTTGCTAAGAGAAAGTGAGTTTTGAACGCGTCTATATGTTTGGCATTAGTATGCTCACCTTGTTCGTCTCAATCAGAATCGATAACTCATACAATCTATTATTTTTTAGCATTATTTGGTATTATTTCGGTTGTACTATTGGCTATTACATGGACAATAATAGCATTTCGTAGTATATTCGTTGTGAAACAACAAACAAGCTCTGATTTAAGTGATCATTTAACCCGTGGTGAATATCAAGTTAACAATCCAGGAATCTCCAAAACGAATGATGAACAAGTTTAAGCTCAAATTTTTTATCTTTATACTTCTATTATTTTTTAGCATGGCTTTAAAACAAATTTTTTTAAAAAAAAATTTCTTATCCGTACTTATTTATTTATAAAATTAATCAAACATTTTAGATATACAAAAAAAATCAAAATATGTTTAATTTAAAGAAAATATTTTCTTTAATTTTGTTATCGATTTTCATTTCATTTATTTCTTGTTCACCAATAATAAATCAAACTTTATCAACTCCACCACTTCTATTATTAATATCTTTTGATGGATTTCGTTGGGATTATCCAGATTTATATAATTTAACTAATTTCAATTTATTAATGAAACGTGGTGTTCGTGTTAAACACATTAAAAATTCTTTTGCTACTGTTACATTTCCTTCACATTTTACAATAGTTACTGGTTTATATGAAGAAACACATGGAATTGTTGCAAATACAATCTATGATCCACAATTAAATGCTACCGCAACACTCGATACTATTAATGATACAAAATGGTGGTATGTAAAAATAAATTGTTTGATTGCTTGTCTGTCCGCAGGGTCAAAAAACACTGAAGATCGATTTTTTGAAAAAGACATTTTCAAAAGTATTTCTACGAGGAAGAGTTAAGCGAGTCTTCAGATAAGCGTTACTTGTTGATTTTACCATAGAAAATTTAGACAGTTAAGTTCTCTCAACACGAGCAGGCTTTATCTTCAGATAACAGAATTGTTGATAGTTATGTATGTCATAATAATCATTGATGTTGGTGTTGAAAGAAAAGTAGACGAGTGAAATTTCAATCAATAAATTTAGGTCACAAAATCCATATTCTCAACCAATTTGGGTTAGTAATCAGTTATCAAACGATTCTAATCAACGACGATCAGGTGTTATCGCATGGCCAGGAGTTGACACACCTATTAATGGTCATCGTCCATCGAAATATTTACCATATAATCCAGCAAGAAAATTAGATGAATCGTTTCAACAAATATTCGATTGGTTTCGTGAATCTGATAGAACTCGTATTAATCTTGGTGTTATATATCATAATGAACCTGATGAAACTGGTATATTTTCATTCTTGAAATAATTCTTAAATAATTTTTCCATATAAAATAGGTCATGAATATGGTCCTATATCAAATGAAATGAATAAAACCTTACAAGATTGTGATAATTATCTTGGTCAATTATTACAAATCATTGATAATGATGAGTATTTGAAAACAAATCTAAATGTAATCATAACATCTGATCATGGAATGGAAGAAATAAAAAAAAATCATACATTAAAACTTAAAGATTATATTGATACATCATTATGTGAAGTATATGGTAGTCGTTCATTTGTAAATATATTTGTTCCTAAAAGTAATATATTTTTTTTTCAATTAAAAAATTTTACACTGATTTTTATTTTTTCAAGAAGAAAATATTGAACGAATCTATAAAAATTTATCTGTTATTCCAAATTATGAAGTTTATAAAAAATCTGATATACCTAATGAATATCATTACAGATCCAATGTACGGATTGGTGGTAAGTTGTTAATTCTATGGAAAAATAAATTTTTGTATTTTTATATTTAATCAGATATTTTATTTGTTGGTAAAAATGGGTATGATATTTATTTACCCGATGATAATTCATCTATTGAATTACATGGTGATCATGGTTATGATAATCGTGCTAAATCAATGCATCCGATATTTTATGGATTTGGACCTGTTTTCAAAGAAAATATGCTAGCTAAACCATTTCGTAGTGTGGATATTTATCCATTAATGTCCTATATTCTTAAGATCAAAGAAAGACAAACCAATGGTTCATTCGATGATGTAAAACATATTCTCAAGGATTTTCCGGAAGAAACATTTTCCGATAAAATGAATTTATTCATATCAAAAATTAAAGATTGGGGATTTCTAAGTAAGTTTATTTTATGTTAAATATTTTTATCTGAAATTAAATTTTTGTTTTCATAGCTGTTGGATGTATAATTATAGTTATTTTAATAAGTATAGTGTATACAGCAGTTGCTTGTCGTTATTCTCAACGATCGATTTATGTTCAACCACATTATGCTCCTGTTCGTTATCGGTTATTAAGTCATACGGAAGGATCAACAAATAATTTGGTTGCTAGTGACAGTGAAAATGAAGAAGAACTACAATGATAAAAACAAACCGAATTATTTTTTGTGATATATATATTTTTATTTCTTTTTTCTTTTCTGTTAAATTCACTATTGGAATGAGGTTATTGTTATTCCATGATAAAGATAAAATAATAATTTGTTTATCTTCATATAAGATACTTATATAATATTAATGACAAACAGAATCACGATTGCATTGCTAACTGTGACAAAAAATATTTCTCTACGCTCAGTCATGTATCACAATTGCAAAGTGTATCATATGTTTTAGATTATCTTTAAAATGCTTGAAGAAATTATAGAGAAAACAACATCGAGAAATGATAAAACAGCGAATGATAAGGATAAATTTCCAAAACATCTTCCATCATCTCATTCGAAATATGTAACTCAACGAACAACATTTGGTCAAGTACGTGTTGATCTTCCAGCAAAATCTGATCAACGACAATTAATTGAATCATTGTATAAAAATTATGATCCAACAAATGAACAATATCGTACATTTGATGAACGAATTTGGTCATTAGTTGATGATGATATTGATACGAGTAAACATGATATTGATTTCTATGGTTTAATTAATGCACATTATCGAAATATAACTTTTGAACAAAAACTTTCATCGCCAAAAGAAGAATTATCAGATAATTATATTGATCAATTAGCTTTTCCAGAATTAACAACAAAAAAAGTGGAAATCGAACCGAAACCATCAATTGAAAAAGAAACAATTGAACAATTAAAAAATGAAGAAATGAACCCTATCGATGAGCAATATTTTGGTACATTAAAACAGATCAATTACCAAGAAGAACAGACCGTTAATAGTACACCAATAAAACGAATTGAAATGCCACCTGCAGATGAACTTAATTATATCGATCAACTAGTTTTTAATTCATTAGAAAAACCAATCGAGAATCTAAGTATAATTTCCGATAAACAACAAAATTCAATGTCATCTGAGAAACTAATCAAAACACCAATTATAACCTCCGATGAACAACAGAATTCAATTCCATCTGAAAAATCTACGTCAGATAATCTTATTGATATTAACTTTCAATTTCGTATTTCTACACCTACACAAAAACGTACGACAAAATCTGTACCTGATCCAAACGAATCACCAATGGATACGTATAATCCTAAACTAGAAACTATGCGTAGTATAAAATCGAAAGATTATTTTGATCCACCACGTCAATCGTCTCTTGATATACAGAAAGACAATGAAATGGATTCATCAAAAACTGCTCATGAACCAGCTGAACATATTCGTGAACAAATAAAAAAGAAAGCAAGTGATCGAGATAGTTTAGGTTATCGAACATTTGATAATCTTACTCCAAAATGGTGGAAAATGACAAAAGCAGAAATTGTTGATATACTCATCAAACAAATCTGTTTTATGCGACGTAAGAATTCATTTTCTACTTAGAAATATTCTCTATATTCATATATATTTAGATGGTATTCTTGCACTTGATAAACCATTTGGTCTACCATCAATAGATAAGTAAATAAAGTGTATGATATTCCTCAATTTTTGAATTATTTGTTTTTTTAGGTGGGCCAGGTGTTCAAATATCAATTGGTAAGACTTGTCAGCTATGGAT